TTGTAATTGATTTTCAATTATCATAGTTAATAGCATAGCAGATTTTGTGATAAAATAGTTGAGCTTTTTATTTTAAATTTAATATTATATCCTCAAGATTCTTATATCTCATTAAATGTTAATGATGTATACAATTTGGCTAAAAAATTTTATACTAAAGATTTTAGTGAGCAAGAGAAACTTTATTTACAATTTCAATTGCAAAATTATAAGTTTGATGTACTAAAACATTTAAAGTTCTAGAAATTGATTACTCTTTCTTAGTTGTGAAGAATAATGATAGCTTCTAAAAAATTAGTTTAAATAGTCTTAACTTTTTATATATCTAGAGCAATTATAGAACAAACTTTCTCCACAATTAAAATTATGAGAACAAAGTTTCATAGTAAAATGAATGGTGATTTTCTTGCCGACAATTTAGTTGTCCACCTATAAAAAGAGATTGCTTTTAACTCCCAGGAGATGTGACTATGAATGAGTTATGCTAAATAAAATATTGTAAAGGATGACTTAGTTTAGAGGTTTTTTTGTCTATTTTATTTTTATTTTTTTTATGTTTATATTGAGTATTTTTAACTTTTAATATTTATTGGAATGTAATAAAATACTACATTTAAAAAAATTAAGAATTTTATTTTATTATAATTATTGAGCTTACTAAAATAGAACTCAATTTTATTTTTTTCTTGTATTTGTATATCTTGCCCCCTCCTAAACTAGAAGTTCTAGGCCCGCCCCTGCACCGGCTTCTCCGCCTCTGTTCCCTGACTCCTTGGTGGCGGCGGTGGATCCTCCTGAGACTTCAAATCCATTGCAGTAGCTGATGTATTAAGCGAAGACAGAAAAGGATTCACAGCTGGGATGATCTGCAACGGAGCTGGTCTCCGTTGCTGGAGCCGGCTGGGCTGTGATCGTGCTGCGGGGGAGTTACAATTTCGAAGTGTACCTGACATGATTTGGGTTTTCCGTGGGTGAACATTACGTGTTGTAAAAAAATTAAGGCAAGATGAATTCACTATGCTCCTAAATATATATCTAATTAAAATTAAAAAAAATTAAGGCAAGATGAATTCACTATACTCCTAAATATAGCTATTCACCATAACAATATAATTATTATTTTACCTTTTCAAACAAAAATCTTTGAACTAGTTAATTATGGTAATACAACTTATTTTTTTAGAACCCATCAATTATTATCAAATTAATCAGAACAATTCAATCTATTTAATTTTTTAAGATATAATAAAATAGTTAAATTACCTCTAAAATCAAGATTTATTCAACTAGAGCTTGTAATTTTATTTTATTTTTTTACCTTTCTCCTTTTAAAGTACAATAAAATATCTAAATTTGCCTTGAAGGTAAAGTTTCTTTAACTTGTGTCCTAATTTATTTATTTTTTTGTATTTTCATCATAGATTTTTAGTTACAATCAAGTTAACTTTGTGATATTTTGATATTTTAATAAATATAAAACATAATTTAAAATAAAAAAATTGATGAAGTTTGCATTACACGTACCAACAAATGGGATACTGCCATGCTAGTTAGCATCATGTGAAAGGAGACATTTGAATTATCTTAATGACTTCTTCATCTTTACATAATATATACAATTTATTAGCTTCTAGTTTAATGTTAATAATCTTTTTTTTCTCTCCCTTAATCTTGATTTCCACTCCTAATACTCTAAATTTTCAAAACAACATTTTCATTTGTTTTTATTTTAGATTTGGTTTCTAATCTTTTAATTACTATTTGTATTATTTGAAATAATTTTTAAAATTGTGTTTTTTTATTCAATTTAATCCTCTAAGTTTTTATTGCTATTCATTTGGTTTTAAATCTCTCTATTAATTAATTTTTTTTTAATTTCATTCCTTAAAATTTTATTTTATTTTATTTTTATGTCAATTTTGGTCTTTATTCTTTTTATTTCTATTTTTTTTTGTTTTAGATCCTTTTTTTATTGGAACTTTTCTTTTTAACTTCATCCTTCAAGTATTTTGTTGATCGATAATTTAGCTTCATTATTTTTTAAAATTTACTTTCTATGAGGTAATCCCAATCTCTAGACTCGGGTCACGGGTTGAAGAGGTTAACCTGGATTAATTTATATCTTTTTTTTATAATTAATTTTTTTCTCAATTTTATCTTTTAATTTTTAATTTATTAGGGATAAAGTTTTATTATTTTTTTCTCCTTTTTAATGAGATTATTTTGATCTTATATGATGGGTTACATGTTAACTTTAAATTAACTCAGATTAATTTTTCTTGTTCGATTTATATATTATTGCTATTTATTTTTTATTATATTATTAAATTTATCAAATTTATTATGTCTAATCAAGTCCGTACTCTTAATTTTATTAAGCAGTTTTTATGTCAGAAAAAAATTATTATTCAACTAGAGCTTGTAATTTTATTTTATTTTTTTACCTTTCTCCTTTTAAAGTACAATAAAATATCTAAATTTGCCTTGAAGGTAAAGTTTCTTTAACTTGTGTCCTAATTTATTTATTTTTTTGTATTTTCATCATAGATTTTTAGTTACAATCAAGTTAACTTTGTGATATTTTGATATTTTAATAAATATAAAACATAATTTAAAATAAAAAAATTAATGAAGTTTGCATTACACATACCAACAAATGGGATACCGTAGTTAGTATCATGTGAGGAGGCATTTAAATTGTCTCAATGACCTCTTCATTTTTAGATAATACATACAATTCATTGACTTCTAGTTTAATGTTAATAACTTTTTTTCTCTCTCTCTCAGTCTTGATTTCCACTCCTAATACTCTAAATTTTCAAAACAACATTTTCATTTGTTTTTATTTTAGATTTGGTTTCTAATCTTTTAATTACTATTTGTATTATTTGAAATAATTTTTAAAATTGTGTTTTTTTATTCAATTTAATCCTCTAAGTTTTTATTGTTATTTATTTGGTTTTAAATCCCTTTGTTAATTGAATTTTTTTTCAATTTCATCCCTTAAAATTTGATTTCATTTTATTTTTATATCAATTTTGGTCCTTATTCTTTTTATTTCTATTTTTTTTGTTTTAGAACCTTTTTTTATTGAAACTTTCCTTTTCAATTTCATTCTTCAAGTATTTTGTTGATCGATACTTTAGCTTCATGATTTTTTTAAATTTGTCTTTTATGAGGTAATCCCAATCTCCAGACCCGGGTCACGGGTTGAAGAGGTTAACTTGGGTTAATTTCTGTCTTTTTTTATAATTGATTTTTTTTTTAATTTTATCTTTTAATTTTTGATTTGTTAGGGATAAAATTTTATTATTTTCTTCTCCTTTTTAATGAGGTTATTTTGATCTTATGTGATGGGTTACATGTTAACTCCAATTAACTCATATTAATTTTTTTGTTTGATTTATATATTATTGCTACCTATTTTTTATTATATTATTAAATTTATTAAGTTTATTAGATCTAATCAAGTCCAGACTCTTGATTTTTTTGAGCATTTTTTATGTTAGAAAAAAATTATTTTGACCGCAAGATAGGGCATATCACCCGTATTGATTTTACTAAACAGTTTTATACATCCAATCAAATTATATAGTATTTGACCCTAGAATTGCTCTTTTCATATTTATCCATCGTTCAATATTTTTGTAGTCATAGATCATATAAATATAGCCAATGTGTTTTTACTGACAGATTATTATTGCGGGAGTGAAAAAAATATATAAAAGGCCAAATATCCTTTAACAATCTCTAAATATTTTTGCTTGATTATGTGCGCGCGCTTATTTAAACTATAAGTTAGTAGTATACCCCGTGTGCGTGTGTACGTCAAGGAAATTTGTTTCGTCTTGAATTTGAATATTTAATAAATTTTAAATGACTTGAGATTAAAGTTTCATAATTGAACAAATCTAAACTCTGCAAAGCTCGAATCATTTGCAGCATCAGTTTTCAGCAACGGATAAGCGCTTGGCCGTCCCATTAAATTATAATAAAATCTTGTGGAAAGTACATCCGCGAAGGCCAATCGGAAGAAAAAAATAAATAAAATAAGAGCGGCTTCAATAAAATAATAAGCCGAGCCAGGCGAAGTTTAGAGAGAAGCAACAGCAACAGAAGAAACCCAAGCCAGCCGATAGGTAAAGGGCACCACAGAGCTAAAGTACAATGGTCAAAAGCACAGGCTGAGTTGGGTTTCTGACGCTTCACGCTTCTATCTCTCAGATAACAACAACTACACTTTAACCGACCCAGCTAACTTGAAAGCTGTGGGTGGCTTTTCCAAACCCCTACACCAACATATTTTTGACCCATCCTACGTGTCATCACAGATGCTTTATGCTAACGTTACATGACGCACGTGACAGCCTACATGATGTCAGTGGTTCCTTGTTTTGATCGAACGATCATCAATGGCTATGAGAGTGAGAAGAAGAGAGTCGTTCATGGTTACGTGGTCGATCCCAAGCCTTGTTCCTCCAATGTTTGATCACCAAGTGTATAGCCTCCGCTGGTCGTCATCAATCCTTACTGGCCTTTTCTTGAGATAGAGAAAGGCTAATTTTGATACAGTATGGAGAGCCCTCCACCCCCTGTTGCCGTGTCAAAATCCAGCTGTAATTAGTCTTGGCTTGGAATTTGGAACAAAAATATTACCCGTAGATCGTTAAGCATCATTGCCTCAGGCCTCCCAGCTACAGCGTTATACAAGCAAGGCCGTTGAGGGCTTCTGTCCTTAACTTAAAGCTATGATGGATCTTGGTCATAATTTATCTAAACAGTATTGCCGTGTCTGTAGAAATTATTTTTTAAAATATTTTTTATTATTTACTTTTCGTGTCTAAACAGTATTTTGAGTTCTTCATTTGCTCATCCTCCTTTGCCGTGTCTGTAGAAATTATTTTTTAAAATATTTTTTTATAATTTACTTTTCAGTCCAAACAATCTAAAAATATTAAAAATTTTAATTTGAAGCAGAATTATTTTTTAAATTTTAGCAAAAAAACAGATTCACTCTCAACTCAATTCGAAACCGTGCTTTGTCAATCACGCGTCGCTTCCTTGCCTGGACTCGCTGTAGGCGTTGCTCCACGGGGCCTTCTCACTGCGGTCAACAGCAAAACCATGCATGATTGGGCGGTAAGTTCCAACGATGGCACGGACAGACAAAAAAGGGCTCACCGCTTAGAAAATCTTGTTAACAGGCCTGTTGATTAGTAAAACTCAAGGTTAAAGTAATGTTAGTCAAATACGCGACAAATTATTCCTCGTGGACTATTCAACACAGACTGCTAACCCTGTTGTTTATCAAAGCATAACCCTGACTAATGCAAAGCTCAGGCACAATATAATAAGTGAGACAGAATTTCGTTTCAAATTATATTCCAGAAATTTGAATCTAGACCAATAGTACAGGCTGAGGTGCCTTGTAAAGCAATTTGATGCAATGCTGGATTTCCAGGCAAATGCAACAGGAGGAATACATATTACAGCGAGTATAGTGAAAATGACCTTGAGCCATTGTTGAAGCTTTAGGAAACGATGAACAGTTAATTGTCAGCCCTCAAATTGCCACAACAATTACGCAGACAACAAAAAAAAAGATATTAGGCCTGTGACAAAGGACCTGGAAGAACAGCCTTCCATTTGTTAAATTATATCCGGAATCATTAAGCTTGGATGACTTTCTTGTTTTAAACTCAAAATCTTAATCTAATACCTGGTCTATTCAACCAAGGCAGGCTAAGATCTAATTTTCAATTGGCCCCAACAGTTTTCTTGTGCTAGATGATGCTAAGTCTTAATAAATTAAATATATCTACATCAACGTGGAATGCGGCAATCAATTTCTTAGAATTCTCAAAGAACCCAAAGTAAGAAGTTTCAGGACAGATTTTGACAAATTCCAGAAACTAGAGCTTCCATAAATTCAACTTAATTTCTGAAACCTTGAAAAGCTAGCAGGATAATCTGACCTTAACAATGACTCTTCTAGCAGAAACTGTGTTTTTGTCCAGCCAGTGGATTCACATTATTGCTTGCTCCTCTACTGCAGGATGCCTGGTGGGATGCTGCACAGTTCAATATAGCCAGTTTCAACATGATGAAGGGAAACTCTTCGTTCAGGATAGGGAAATACTGGGAGATTTGGAAATTACCATTAAAAGGACATTTAAGGCTGCAGTTAGATTCATACACACACCAGCAGCTTTCTAAGGCATCAGCAATACCTGAAATTCACCAAGCAACAAGCAAAAGATAGTTAAGAAACTTTGTTGACCATGATGAACTGCTAAGCCATCGTAATTGTTTAAGGAGCAAAATTTAAGAATCCTGAGATGCAAGTGCTTAGAAACTGCATATCACTTTTTCTTTGGTTTCATTGAACTCCTTGAAACCCTCCTCTGCCTTTGCTTCTGTGCCAGTTTTTTGTTTTTATCAAACCTTAAGAACCCAGTTCCTCTCCTTCTCAATGGGATCTCTACAAGGTCCAAAAATGAAGCTCTTTTCCACTAGAACCTTACCTAAGAATATGTTCCAATCATTCCAGGAGCTTTAAACCTTTGAAAGACTCCTTCCAGTTCTTCTCAACTTCAACCCAGAACTTGTTCTCTGTTGGGCATGTTATGAGGTCAGTTTCCTTCAGCAGTGTTCGAAAGATTGTACATAGCCCAGTTGTTGGCGTTTACCAACTTGAGAGGAGACATTCCCTGCACATCCTGTGTGCACATGGTGTGATCACAGGGTCATCTGCATACTCCAGGCATATGGGAAACTACATACTTGTCACATATCCGATAGGCGACCCAACATGGATGAAGAGTTTTTGCTGCTTCCTTAACAGCAGTTCCTTTCTTGATTCTGATATCCAGTAGAGAACTTGTTTCTGTAAGCCCTTAAATCACACATTAGTGTACTTGGAGGTCCCATCTCCTGCATAATCAAGAGAGGAATTAGAGGAGTTCAAAAGCAATTATTTTTCTGGATTCTGAAAACATAAGACAGCATTCGAAGCACTTGACCTCCAAGTTACAAGTATCTTATGCAACAACAAGCTTAATAAGAGATGAGTCTGGTATAGTTTTTTCATCTTTGTTTTGTTCTTGACTCAGCTGGGTACCCTTTCTCCTACTCACCATAGGTAAAATTGCAGCCGCTTCATCTGGATCACTCTGTTTTGACTGATAACAATTAGACTAACAACAATTAAGATCTCACACTAGCATAAATTATCTGCATGCTGCATCCGCTTAGATCCCAGCAGTATATTTGTGCAAACCGACAAGTCCACTGTCATCAAGCACTAAGGAACTGCTAACAGTTTTGTATAGCATACAAAAGCATACATCATTAACATTATTGAACAAAATAATTAATGTGTAAATCAATAAGGGACAATGCAGAGCTCATGCAATAGATTATATTCTTGCAATACTTTTGGCATTACATGCCATGCCTATCAATTAAAAATATGCAGGAGTAATAGGATTAAGAAGAAGGATCCATATATGATGAAGCAACTGCGATCATAAAAGGCAACAAGATGAGAACGAAAGTATAATCGCACATACTTGAAGATTCAGTAAATGTTTCCGAGTATCAAGTTCCTCGAGAGTGAATTCAGCCTGAATGAAGAAAGACACATAAACAACATGAATATTTATAACATAAATACAATGTGCAGTCATCATTACATAGGACTGACATAAAATTAACATCATCACAGAAGACAAGGGAAAGGCACCTCTTGTTATGGTTTTATTTTCTGCAACTTCAACAGAGTAAGGAGGGGATAAACTGTATATTCAACGTCTGAAGGAGCCTCTAGGCTCCATTTTGACATGGTTTTATTTTCAGCAACTCCATGTTGATTTATCCAACTATCGAAGACAGAAAAAACCTAGAAAGGTTTTCTGGTGCAGCTACACTACGTCCTGGAACTTCATCTTGGCTGAAGTCACAAGCGGGATGACACAATTCCCCATTCCATAAGTAGCAGACCAATCTAAGAATTTGAAGTCACAATTAAAGACTAAATTCTTAAAAATTAAAAAAAAAATCACCCCACAAATGAAAACAAGTAAAATCTAAATTGTAGAATGCTTAAACTCTCCAGATCGTTTTGTTGAGAAGCGAGCAGGTTTCATGTCTTGATTAGGAAAACAAAATAAACAATTTGCTTGTCCACCAACTTCCTTCCCTTAGTAGTAGAAATCGCATTAACCATAGTCCTCCACCCCACTAAATACCATTTATTCTCTTAAGGAAATCTCCATCTTCCACTGAAACACGATTAACCTTTCTCTCTTCAACATCCTTTCTTCCAGGCTCCTCATTATGACCTCCCCTGTTGATTACTCTCTGATTTCTTTTTTTCTTCCTTGTACATGATTAATAGCCCCTCTTTCACAAAGATCTCCGTTCTTTGGTCTCTCCTTCATTGTGATGCTTGGCTTCTCTGTTTTGGGAAATAATTGCTTTTCACTATCGAGACCCATTTCTTCTTTTACACAGGCCTCGTTCTCAATCCCCATTTCGGCTTCTTCTTTTACACTGTAACCTGGGTTCTTCTGGTTGCCACTAACCTCGTTGCTTGATGACCTGAGTTGAAATCAGGGAACTGATGATGGTGATGATGCGTTTGACTGTGACATGATCATCAAGAATGAAGTTGACGATAATCAAGGTTGTTTCCACAATGGGAGAGGGCTTGGAGAATGTCCGATTCGGGTAACCCCGACCCGATAACAGATCTGATCCTCTTGAAATTCTTTTCTTCTGCGAGGGAAGATGAAAAATTATTATTTTTAATTTACTATAACAATAAATTCGGCGCCAAATACTTTAACCCCGTGTAAGAGTTTTTTTTATTTTAAATTTCTTATTGTATTACTGTATCGTAGCGAGAAGGTAGGTATACAAAGAATATCCACTGAAGGCCTTTCTCTGGGATTTACCTTAATTAGTAACGTCAACATGCTGCGCTGCTTCAACTAATTCTGCGTAAATGACAGTGACAATGGCCATCTTTTTTGTAATTTTCTCACTTATCCATGAGTTTACTCCTCCTAGATCTTCTGTTGCCTAGGAAAACACGATCCATGTACATTATTTTCAAATAATTTCAATTGATATAAGCTAAATAATGAAAAATATATTATACATGTAGTAATAACAGTAACAATAATAATAATAATAAATTTTTATGTTTAAGGAATTATCGTTTCATTAAAAATTCTTCCGAAGAACTTGGTCCTGCTATCATGAAGCTTGTCAGAGATTGCCTCCCGAATAAAAAGGACGCATAAGGGTAAGAACAGTAAGATCTTCGATTATAAGAGAATCTTTAACAGGAGATACTATTTTAAAGAGATAAATTAATAAAATATTATTTTAAATAATATAAATATAAATTTTTTTACTATATATTTTTCAAAAAAAAAATTAATTTTTTTTATTATAATAAATAATATAAATATAAATTTTTTTACTACATATTTTTCAAAAAAAAATTTAATTTTTTTAATTATAATGAAATAAATAAATATTTTATTTTTTTAATAATTTTAATGTTATTTTTTTAGCTAAATTTAATTAATTATTTTTTTATTTGCCTCTCGTTCTTAGTTTTGATTTTTTTTTATTTTTTTAATAATTTTAATGTTATTTTTTAGCTAGATTTAATTAATTATTTTTTTATTTGCTCGTTCTTAGTTTTGATTTTTTTTGAGAGATATATAAAAATAGTATTTATAAAAAAACTTTTTAACATTTTATTTAGCTATTTTTTAATATAAAAAATAAGTAAAAAAAATTGAAATATTAATTTTTTATTTTTTATTATTCATTTAGCTTTTTCATTAGAGATGCTCTCAGTAAATAAGTGACTCGAGTGGCAATTGTGTTAAGTTATAGGGATAGATTTGTAAGTAACTCAATTACAATAACAGGCAAAATTTGTTTTCAAGAAATTCAATTCTTTAATTAAAAATGATTTTTTATATATGTTTTCGATATTTTAATGCATTATGTTAAAAATAATTTTTAAAAAATAAAAGAAAAATCATTTTCACATTTCAAAATCAACGGCAACCACTGAGGCAATTAATCTTGAATCTTTTCACCCATGTTCAGCACCTGCCCCTTTGTCTGTACACCACACACCAGAGCACAAAGCCATCACTAACCACTCACCATGTGCAGATTAGAGAAGACGGCCAACAACATCTTCGTTTTAACATTAACCGGCGACAATGAGCACCGTTTAAACCCCACTCTTATCGGCTCTATCCTTTCCGCTCTTCGCGAAGCCAAAGTGCAAGCCACTAGTGGCTCGGTTCTCATCACCACATCACAAGGGAAGTTCTTCTCCAACGGCTTAGATCTAGCCTGGGCTCGTGCCGCCGGTTCCAAGCCCAAAGCCATCGAGCGCCTCACCCACATGGTGAAACTGTTCAAGCCGGTGGTAGCCGAGCTGATTTCTCTCCCTATGCCAACCATCGCCGCCGTCAATGGCCATGCAGCCGCCGCGGGGATGATCCTGGCTCTGAGCCATGACTACGTCTACATGAAGAGGGATAGAGGTGTGCTATACATGAGCGAGGTTGACATCGGGCTAACGATACCTGATTATGTCAATGCCCTTTTTAGGGCTAAGATCGGATCGCCTTCTGCTCGACGCGATGTGCTGTTGAGAGGAGCAAAGGTTAGGGGAGACGCCGCGGTGAGGATGGGGATCGTGGAGGGGGCCCACGATAACGAGGAGAGGTTGAGTGGGGCTACAATGCGCCATGGAATTCAGTTGGCATCGAGGAAGTGGAATGGCGAGGTTTACAAGGAGATAAGGAAGAGTCTGTATCCTGAGCTATGTGTCGTGCTTGGATTGGGTGATGCAAAAGTAATTGCAAAACTCTAAGGAAAACGAAAAGACTTTATTATTGTGTCTTAAAGATAGACGATGATTCGTGTACCCATTTTAGTATTTGCTGGGAGTGTGATTTAGTATTTTCTGGAATAATATGTATTTAAAAAAATTTATTTTTAATAATAATATGTGAAATTATGAGTTTTAATTTGTTTTTGAATTTTAAAAGTGATTTTTTAAAAAAATTAGTTTTTTTTATTTTTTATTTATATATTATTATTATTATAAGTTTGTTGTTTGGGCATAGGCTTGGAATGGACTAAAGTTGTCTTTTCATATATAATTCATTTGCTCATTTAGTTGAAAAAATTAAAGCATTTTCAAGTATTTTTTTATAAGTTTGTTAGTCATTAAACATTTGAGTGAGGATATAATAGTTTTTTAATGTTTATTTATACAATAAAAATATTATTTTACTTCTAAAATTAACAAACTTTAAATATATTGCTTTAGAGTTTTTTAAAATACCTTTCACTTACTATTAAATAGTTAAAATACATCTTTAACCCTGTAAAAAATAAGAAGTAAAAAATTAAAAAAGCTTTGCACAAGAGAATATTTTTATTCTTTTACACTGTTTTTGTGTAACTTTTTTATAATTATGGGACATTTTGATATTTCAATATTTTTTTATTATTTTTAAATTTAAAAAGTCATTTAGAACTCATATTTACATGGATCTAACAAACATGTCAAATCTAAATTACTTAAGTGTTACATCCAAGTAATATGTGTCTGGTATGGTTACCAAACCCAAGTAAATTAGATCTAATATTTTAAATATAAATCATTAATATCTTTAAAAAAAACCTCATTTGCAACATAAAAGGTTCAGACAAACACGATGAAAAGTAAAAAAAATATAAAAAATTATATAATGAAACAAAATATATATAGTCCAGTATTATTAAAAAAATATAAAATAATATTATCGTTGGTGAAAAATCACAAACGATCACTCATTAAATAAAATTTTTTTGCATGAAGTTTGATTAAAAAATATATAAAAATAAACATTAATAAAAAAAGAAGAGAGAATAAAAAAGAAAAGATATAATTTATAATGAAGAAATAATAAATTCATAAATATAAAAAATAAATTATTTCAATAGAAAGATATGATTTGAATTTTTAGATCTAAAACATTAAATTAAATTTTTGTTATGATTTGTTGTTTATAAATAATTTTTGAACTTGAATTTTTGTTCATAATACTTTAAAAATAATTTAAATGTATTTTTTTTATAAAAAATAAAAAAATTATAAATTTTAATACTTTTTTATAAAAAATAAAAAAATTATAAGTTTTAATATTTTAATTATCATCGGCTAATATTCTAATAAGCATTACACCTAGTCCATATATGAAATTTATAAAAGAAAACTAAATAGGCTTAGACTAAAGCCCAAACACACCTAAACAAAGCTATCCAAAATGTTTAGGTCTAATATGATTATCAAACTCAATTTATCTAGTTCTGGCAAAATTCTCAAACTCCATACTCTTAAAACATTCTCTATACTTTTTAAAAAAATTAAATTAATATTAACCCACTGCATAGTATAATATACTAATGTAAACAAATTTTACTCTTCTCCATATTATAACTCCATACTAAAACAACCAGGTGCAATGCACCTACATTATTGTTTATATAAAGTAGATGCTCCTCCTTTTTATTCCTTTATTTTCTTGATTCATCTTTTTTTTTTTATTCTATGAATTTTTAACAGCTATTCATATTGTTTTTGGACATGTAAAGTGAATTAAGTTATATTTAGCTAATTCCAATATAATTTAAATTTGAACTAAGATTATGCAAGTAATTGGGTATAAAAGTATTTTATTTTATTAATTTCATCCTAATGTTTTTTTATAAGGAAATTCCTATGTAGTTTATTTTAAACTCGGGTTGAATAAAAAATTAAATATAAAGATTTCAAGAGTAATTCACGAAATTAAATTTAATAACAATATCAAACAATCTGCTAATGCTTGAATATTTTTGTTATCTTCCATTATTTTATCCAAACTCACACTGTAGCGAAAGCATGTAACCTAGTTAAAGGTGATAAGGATCAACCGTGAGACTCTGTTCTCCTCTCTAATTAATTATTTGGATCGTGTTATTTCCTGCCATTGCCACTTCTAATGACTGTACCTTGCAGGTTAATTGATGTGGCGGGCATGTTCTAGTTGAAAGATCCTATACTGACAACGTGATTCCAAGATTACACGTGGCCTAGGAAGAAATTGTTAGATCCTATACAGTACTTTTTTTGCTTTTCTTTTCTTTTTCTTTTTTATTCTGACAAAGAAACACACGTTCTCAAATAACAAGGACACTTTTTTTTTTTTCGTTGTTCTGTAATGTTATTTTTTAACCTCACTTTGTCTGACTGTTCCTACCACATTATCCATTCTAATTAAAATCGCCTCTTCTTTCTTCCATACCCCCCACCATAGAACTTGTAAAATCGCCTCTTCTTTCTCCCATACCTCCCACCATAGAACTTGTTTCCTGCTTAGTATTGCTAATACACAACACTACCTCACCTCCCATTGTTACTTCCATCCTTTAAAAAACCCTTATCTACCAACAAAAAAAAAAAACCTTACCAATGAATTCTAGCCCATTGGCCCAATATAATAGGCCCGAAAACAATGTTAGAACTTTAACAGGATCATAGACTGGAAAAGGAGATATTCCTAGCTCACCAAATACACATTCATTTGCCATAAAACCTCCATAATCCCAGTCTAAAACTGCTATGCAGTTAGGTAAACCAATAGAGAAAATAATATAAAAAAGAAACGCAGTCTCACTCTGCAAATGGTGTTTTAGCAACTAAAATCGGTGAACTTGACAAATTTCATGCTTCGCACCAAGCACATGCTAAGGACAAGAGATAGAAGTGTCAAACCACCCAAGCTCAGTCTCTAACATGGAAATGAAATGTAAACGCTATCCGAATTCACTAGATGACATGCAAAAAGGAAAGAAATTAAAAAAAAAA